AGGAAAGCAGTCCCGTCGACGTCCTATTCATGTGCTACCTTGGGGAGATCATGCTCACCGGCTTCAATTAATGACCTATTCAGTTAATGCACCACCAGCCATCAAGTTCGTCGAGTCGCTTCATAACCGACATTATTTATTATTTCTTTGGCTCGACTCGTGGTGGACGGGGATGCGCATCCGGTTGGCACTAATGGCGGCTGTGTTCCAGAAGTTTCTCTGGGTGTCTATCCATGCGCGCGGGTGCCACTCCACTGGCGAGATCGATCATCGGCACAGGATGGGTGGTGTCAGGCTCGATTTTGTGTGATGTATGGGCTATTGAACCTCTTGTAGGGTAGCAGCAGCATGAACGATGCCACCGCCGCAGAAGACGCCGAAGACTGCTCCGCCACATCACTAATGCCTGAGAGCAAGAAGGAAGAAGGGAAAGGAGAAATGGGAGGGGCAGTGAGGTCATTTTCTACTCAATTTGCTGAGTTTGAGGTGAACAGTGGTAAAATAGAAACAAATCAGTGGACCCAGATGGCAAATCATCAAAGTTATTTGAGAAGATGGCATTTAGGAATACGCCATTCAGGAGGATGGCAAATAGTCCAAAATCCTGTGAAACAGCGCCTGACTTTTAGGGAAAAAAATCGGGTGCCTAATTTATAGATGCTTTATAAATATTCACAATATTTTTTGCAAAAGCAAGTATCTTTTAATAGAGATAACTTTCATAATGTTTTTTTTGCAAAAGCAAGTGTCTTTTAACATAGGTAACTTTCATAATGTCTTGCAGCAAATTTTGAGTGTCTTGCAGCAAATTTTGGTAAAAAGAAAAGAAAAAGAAAAGAAAAGGAAAACCCTCTTCTTCGCCCGCCGCCTGCGTGTCGCGCCGATCTCCATCACCGCGAGCAGCGGCACCGGCAGACGGCAGTCCAGCACTCCCGCAATCCCGCTGCTCGTGCCGCATACTCTCGCCTGCTACTCCTCGCGCCCAAGTCAATCTCCCCGTCCTCTCGGTCTCGGCTCCCGCATCCTCGCGAGTTCGCCAGCCGCCGCCGCCTGCGCCGATCTCCGTCCCGCGAGCAGCGGTGCGTCGTCCTGCTGCTTCCGCCTCAGTTGAACACCCGTGCCGACGGACGGCCTACTTCTTTCTCATCCGTCTCCATCCACACCTTCTCTCTTTGGCCTTATCTTCTCTTCTAGATCTGGAAGCCTTTCCTCTTCGTCTTAACCTTAGTACTAATAACAGTTAGGTCCGCCCCTTTGGGGAGTACGCTGAGATGACCGGCGCGGGCGACGCCGCCAAGGAGTACGCCGCCGGATGTGCTGCCGGCATCGCACAGGTGGCGGTCGGCCACCCTTTCGACACCGTCAAGGTCGCTTGCTTCTGTCTTTCCTTCCTATCTTACCTTCCGGTAACTGACATGAACCGGTCTCTCCCAGTGTGTTATTTCTGCTTAGTGTAATTGACATGAATCGTCTCTCGCAATGTGATTTTCCTGCCGATTGTAACTGACATGAATCGTCTCTCCCAATGTGTTTTTTCTGCTTAGTTCGATCCACATCGATGAGATGCTTGGTTGGTTTCCTTGAGCAGACGGAGATATATACAAACAACTGCTGTTCAATTTAGTGCTTGGTCCAAAATGAATTTATCCATAGATTTTCTTGTTGAGATGGCATAATCCTAATTTTTAAAAATCTTTTGCAATTCAGTACTTGGGGAAGTATTTATCCATTTCTTCAAAGGCTAGTGCACTACTTTACCTTGCAATGGTTGTGGTAACATTGGAGATATTGGAGAGAGGGATGAGCTCTAACATCTATAATTGTGCCAGCATGGTTTGTCTCTGAATAAGGCCCAGCCGGAGAAGGCACATGTAGACATCAAGACCAACATTCCAATATTTCTAGCATTCGTTATTGCAAGTACATATAATGCATAGGGGCTAGCTTTCTATGATGTATCAACATGCGAGTTGGTACTACAAAATTATTTGACCAGTTACATGTATGTTTTTTGTTTGGTTGTGTTGTACCTATGGAACAAATACTTGTTTAACAAGTGCATGGCATTGCACAAACTTTTTTTATATTTGTTCATGTACAAGGAAAACAATGCAAGCTCACGTTCAGTTTCATTTACTGGATAGAACATGTCTTATCAATTCCTGTTCCTTTGGTTCATGACAATGCTTTGTCCATTGACAGGTCAAATTGCAAGCTCACAATACCACAGCTCATGGGAAGGTATACAGGAATGCTTTCCACTGTACTAGAAGGATACTGGTTGAGGAAGGAGTAAGTCCCTTTCTCCTTTCTTATTTTTCGCTGAAAATTTCATGCTTAGTCTTAGGCAGTTAAATTGGAATTTTTCTTATCCAAAATGTATCGGGTTAAATCATCAGCATCTACACTGTAAGGAATGTCTTAGCCCATGATGCACCTAGTACATTCCATAGACAATGCAAGTGACATGGGTGACATTTACTCTACTAATGCAGGCAAGGGAATTGCTTAGATCGCATTCATCTGACATTTTCACCAAGTTAAGTTATATTTATGGACGCTCGTTTAACGAAGAATATTCCATACAGTTAGGTTGGAGTACAAATAGCTACTCTGTGAATGAATTAACCATATTGTGGATATATAGTGTTTTGTCTTTCATCTTTTATACACTGTAGGCTCTGAATGAGAACAATCTATAAGTTGTCTAAAAGAGGTCAATGGTCAAATGATTTTTTGTCATCAGATAAAGTATCATTTATAATAGCTGTTCTGTCTGTATTGATGCTAAGCCCTTTCAGATGTATATTTAGTTTTTTATATTTCTTTATTTGTAAAGGGTTTTTCTGCATATTTGTGTGTACTTGTACCTGTATATATTTGTTTGCCTTTTGCCCTCAGATGAATACAAATGCTATTCATAACATGGTATCAAGAGCCAACCTAGGGTTAGACTTTTCTTCTTCCCCTAGATGGTCCAAAATTTTTTCCATGCACGTTAGCACTTGCGTGCATCACATTTTCTATATCATACCTGGATTTTGTGGTCAATTTTTCCAACTCATTGTGGTCGTCGCTGCTGCTTGTCACTGTTGCGGCAGCCACACGTCTCTGGTCGCCGACCACCGCTTGTCATCACCGTCGCCCGTCGCCCATCGCCAGCCACAGCTTGTTGCCTGTCTCCAGCCACAGCTTGTCGCTCATTGCCGGCCGCTGTCGCCGGCTGCCGTTTGTTGCAGCCCGGTGCCGGCCGTCGCACGCTCTTGCTGGACGCCGATTCGCACCTGACCCTTGGCTTGCGTCGGTGCCCGCTTTGTTTCTGGGCGGAACCGATCCAGATCTGGGTGCTAAGGGACAAAAAGCACGCCTAGCTGCTGCTGTGCAGTCTTTGCAACCGACAGTTTGGGTCCTTTGACCGAGGCTAATTAAAAAAAAAGAAAAAAAGAAATGAAAAAAAGAAGAAGTTCCTATCTATTTGCTTGTTGTCACTTTAATTTGCGCTTATGCCGTTGTCCGTTGCTCTTGCTCTTTGACGATGTCATCTCTGTTAGGCACAATTTCGGTTCCTCGTTTCCCAGTTATTTTTTATGGCGTCAACTACAATCATTAGGCTCAGCATATGCGTCTACACATGTGTGGTCAGCGTCTTTGGGATGTTCTTTCTGGTGAGCTAGCTTGCTCACCTTTCCCCTTGGCTCCAGCTATGCCTGCACTTTCAGCTCAGACTACTGATAGCAAAGGCACAAGAGGAGTATGATGATGTTATGGAAACTTATCAGGGTCAGTATGCTATGTACAAGGCTTGGTTGGATTAGGATGCTTGTGCTTATTCTATTCTTGTGGTTAGTATAGAGGTCCATCTTACTGGATATGTGGTTACCCTTGCTTCTGCTCATCTCATCACGTATGAATGGATCTATAAGGTCAAGACTCGCTCCGATGGAACTCTTGCACTCTATAAAGCTCGTCTTGAAGGTTGTAGCCCTTAGAGCTTGTCTAGTACCACCAGTACTCAAAATGCATCTCCGCACATCTACCTGGCCTTTTTATTAGCCGCCTTGCATGCAAACGAAGTGCTATTGGCGGCAATTAATAGTTCATTGAGCGATGATTGTTGCACGCATGAATTTCAACAAGAGCATGGTCGGGACTGTAACGAGACTTTTGCTCCTGTGGCTTGCATGACCACTGTTTGAACACTTCTAGCCGTAGCCTTTGCTTGCCATTGGACTATCACCCAGCTTGATGTTAAGAAAGCTTTTCTCAATGGGGAATTGCACGAGGAGATTTACATGCGGCCACCGCTAAGATATTCGGTTCCTGAGGGTACGGTTTATCGTCTTCGATGCTCTCTTTATGGGCTCAAGCAAGCTTCTCGTGCTTGGTTTCTGCTGTTTGCCTCTGTAGTCACCGCTGCTGGTTTATCGGCAAGTGCTCATGACCCTTCACTATTTGTACATACTTCGCCTCATGGTCGGACCATTCTTCTGTATGTTGATGATGTGATTATCACTAGCAACGATGTTGGGTTGATTGCAGTTGTTAAGGCATGTCTCAATGCACAGTTTCTGATGTCTGATCTTAGTTCTCTTCGCTATTTTCTAGGGATTGAGGTTTCTTCTACCCTTGAGGGATTTTATCTTTCTCAAGCAAAGTATATTCAGGATCTTCTGGATAGGGCTTCTTTCATTGATCAATGCACGGTTGAGACTCCCATGAAACTTAATCTTCATCTTTCTGCCAGTAATGTTGTGCCATTAGCTGACCCCACAGTACAAAAAACCGGACCGGGTCAACGGTTGAACCAGAAAAAACCGGAACCACCATCCTTGTCGGGTCAGTTTGCTGCAAAGACCGAACATGCAATTGGTCCGTTGCGAACCGTGCGAACCGGATGGTTCTACGTGAAAACCGGCGACCCGGGCTGCTCTAGACCGGCGGTTTTTCTTTTTTGCCGAACAAATGGGCCAGTCTATTAAGGCCCAAATGCTTACTAAGCAGCCCAATACATTTTATGGTAAAATGGTGAGAAAAAGGGGAGGAGGGAGGGATCGAACCCTTGCTGCCGAGATGGAAACAAAGCACCACTACCAACCAGCTAGCTTGATCATGCTGACAAGAGGAGATATGCATGATAAATAAACTTCTTCCGGTTCAGCACTCGGACCGGATGAACCGGCGGTTGGACCGATGAACTGGTGAACCAGGTGCTCGAGCGGTTCAGTGGCCGGTCCGGCTTTTTTTACTATGGCTGACCCCACTCGCTATCCTCACCTTGTAGGGAATCTTGTTTATCTTGTTGTCACTCGTCCAGATATTTCATACTCCGTGCATATTAGGATTCAGTTTGTTTCTGCTCCCACCGAGCTTCACTATAGTCATCTTCTTCGTGTTCTTCGTTATCTTCATGGGACTATCTCTCGTTGTCTTTTCTTTCCTTGGTCCACATCTTTACATCTTCAGGGTTACTTTGATGCTACTTGGGCTAGTGATTCCTTTGATCGCAAATCTCTTTCTGCTTATTGTGTTTTTCTTGGTGGTTCCTTCATTGCTTGGAAGATTAAGAAACAAACAACAGTTACTCATTCTAGTGTAGAGGCTGAGTTATGAGCTATGTCCCTTTTGATAGCAGACGTTACTTGGTTACGTTGGTTACTTGAGGACCTTGGTGTTTATGTGATTTCGCCAACTTCTTTGTTGTCGGACAATACAAGTGCTATTAGTATTGCTCGTGATCGTATAAAGCATGAGCTTACTAAGCATATTGGTGTGGATGTTTCTTACACCCGCACATAGGTACTGGATCAGGTGGTTGCTCTTCAGTATGTGCCTTCCGACTTGCAGGTGGCTGATTTCTTTACAAAGGCATACACTAGAGCTCAACACAGGTTCTCTCTCTCTCCAAACTCAGTGTTGTTGATCGACCTTGAGTTTGAAAAAAAGGGGGGGGGGTTGTTACATGTATATTTAGGTTTTATATTCCTTTATTTGTAAAGAGTTTTTCTGCATATTTGTGTGTACCTGTACCTGTATATATCTGGGCCTTCTGCCCTCAGATGAATACAGGTGCTATTCATAACAAGCCCAATATTAGAATCTGCTGCTATTGAACTGAGGATTGTGATTAGTTATTTATTTACATCTCTGATTCTGCGAGGATATAATTTTGTAGATCTGATTTGTTTTGGGGGTCTGGTAACTGATTTAGCAACATAATTACTAGAAATTAATTTCATGGCTATTCTGTTACAGATGAGAGGACTGTATAAAGGTGCATCATCTTCATTTATCGGTATCGCACTTGAAAGCTCCCTTTTCTTTGGCACATATTCACAAGCCAAGCAATTACTAAAGGTATTTTAGTGTTCTCTGTTTGCAAAACTGGACTTGCTATTTTCCTCCCTTGCTCATAAGGAAAACCCCTGTAACATTTTCAATAGCAGTGACATAGAAAATCTCCCTTTGGCAGGTTGTTTGGGAGAAGGAAAAAAACAGTGCTAGATAGCTATATGATATGCCCAACTACTGTTCTGTATTAATCTAAAACTGTGAAAACTGCATCATGCATGGAAATACCAGATTGAAATGAGCACCTTCATCAAAATAAGTAACAATAAATTTATCAATCACCAAAATTTCAGTAAAGAATATCAAATTGAACAAACCAGAACAAGAATGTGAAATTGACAATAAATTTCACACGAAACTCAAAATAGCAATCAGGCCTGGGCCATATCTGAATTAGAAGTTGAAGATGTGGTGGTTTGTTAATACTGCAGCTAATTTATGGATGAGAGAGAGGACATGACAACATCAACGATTCAACGCCAGTTAGGCAGTGCCCAATGGTGGCAGTGTGGTTGAGGCAGGCCCTGCTGGTGGCGGCAGACCACTTCATCATACGTTCAGTGGCACATAGAATTTTGAAGAAATATTATACTAAATAATAACACATTTACTATATATTTGATGTTATCAATTCAATATAAGTAATGGCATTGTATAACGACAAAGGAGTAGGGATTAATGTGCATGAACCGGCAGAGCAATTAGGAAAGGAAAATTTGAGAGGCGAGCGGCATCAAGGTGGATGTTATGCATCAAGCGTGATGCATAACATGTCGTGGCACACATTTGTGCACCTGGCCATCTGCACTGAGCTAGCTGGTGCTCTGGCTTCTGCTGGGCTCATGGGTGCTTGGGTGGTGCACCAACTTGGGCTGAGGGCATGTGGTTAAAATAGAATGGTAAGCACTGAGTTTTTTCTGGCCGGTCCTCTGTGCACTCACTTAGCCCATTAGGCTCCACCCCTGAGCCCAGAGGTAATGAGGCAGAGCAAATCGAACCTTGGGCCCTTGCTTCTTACAGCTGCTGAGTTCTTTCGGTGTCCCAATGGGATTTTGAGCTCACACAGAAAAAATACGTCGGTATTGTCGCTGTCTCCCTGTTGCATCCTGAGGCATTTTTATTCTCCTCAAGTCCAATCAGGGATTTTTTTTTTGAATGCCCCAATCAGGGATTTAAGTATCGAAACAGGCTGCCTAAGCATTGTTTCTTGGCCCAATAGTTTTTCTGTGCCTTTAACTTAGACTTGTTTTTGGTGCAAAACTGGCCTCTCAAGCAGGCCCTAACTGTTTCAGCAATAGCATGATCAATGTAACTCTTGTGACATGCCCTGTTCAAAGTTAAATTTACCTTTCTTACTACTATATCAGGGAAAATCTGAGGATGGTAGGCCACAGCTACAGGTAATAATACCTTCTGCTGCCTGTAGTGGAGCTTTAATCAGTTGCATTCTCACTCCAACTGAGCTAATGAAGGTCAGTCTAGCACTCAATTTGTCCAATATAAGCTAGGAACAAAGAGGAATGATTCAGGTGTTATATTATGTGGTAATGCCAAGATTTCTCCAGTGCAGAATGCAAGTTCAAGGGAAGCATGCATTGCATGGTACTAGGTACTCCAGTCCTCTAGATTGTGCTATGAAAACGCTGCAAAGTGAAGGGGTGAGCTTATTTTGCCTTCTATCAGCTTCTATTGTCCAATAGCTTTGTTGGCTTACCAATTTATGAGCTATCACGTTGCAGGTTTGTGGTCTATTTCGTGGTGGTTTGGCTACATTGTTTCGAGAGGCAGTTGGCAATGCTGTCTTCTTTTGCACTTATGAGTATAGCCGATATTGGATGCACAGGTATCTAGATTCACCATGGTTTTCAGGTGGCAATCACTTAGTTCTGGCAAAAGATGTTGGCGTAGGAATCATGAGTGGTGGCATTAGTGGGATGGCGGTAATTATTTACACATATTCTGAATTCATTGCAATATCCTTTTTCCCGTTTTGTCAGCAATCCTTTTATTCTGCAGTTCTGGACAGCTACTCTACCATTGGATGTTGCAAAGACCATTATTCAGACTGACCCTGACCCTCATTTGAGTCGAAACCCCTTTCAAATTTTAAAAATGGTACATGCCCTTACTATGGTTCATGATCTTATTTACTTCCGTTAGTTTTGTGGGTCATTATGCATTTATGCCTGATCAAAGCAGAGCACATGCTTGAAATGTCACAGGTTTATAGAAGAGCTGGAATGGGTGGCTGTTATGCTGGCCTTGGTCCGACGCTTGCACGAGCATTCCCTGCCAATGCAGCTGCAATTGTTGCTTGGGAATACAGTGCTAAGATTCTTAGTATAAGGCGTGACTAGCATAAGGTACTATCCACATCGTCTCAAAGTTGTGCGACTTTTCACATCTCAAAGTCGTATACATTTTGGTCAGTGTCAGTTTACCTTCTGTTAGTAGACTAAGTCTGTTTTGCTCCCTTTTATCTTCATTTCAGATGCTGAAAGCTGAATTGCTGGTCCAATTTTCCATAATATACCGGGGAACACACCTGATTAATCATTTTTTTTCTATAGTTAGATGGTTTTGGTAGGAAATGTTTATATTTGGTACCTTAACTCTTCTTCACCGTGGTCAACTTTTGCCCCTCAACTATAACTATTCAAACCATCTAAATAATGTCCCCAGACTGGTTCTGTGGATACTTTTTGAGTGACATGGCTGCCACATCTTGACCCCACACTTCATGTCCTCTTGTCTTTAAATTAAATGCGGTTGGAGAGGAATATGAACAAAGGTGGATAATCTAGTTGGTCCCATCACTTCCTTTTATTTCTTTTCCTTGATTTGTTTTCCATGTCGGCATCCAATTAGGAAATCATCTAGGACAGTACAACCTAGGTACGTGCGCAAGGACGTCATTTCAGTTTTGACTGTAGAGGAATTAGTTCTGGAAGAGTTCAGAAAGACTAAATAGACCTTTGTCCTGTTCATAGAGAGGTTTCGTTAAAATTCAGTGTATTGTAAAACTCAGCGGTACATTTTTAATTGTAAACTCAGTTGGGGAGAGGCTTCTTAGCTTATCCCGTTTGATTGCATCAAACGAGGAAATGGCTGTGACTGCATCAATGGATGTTGCAAATTGTACCCTGTCAATGGAGGCCCATTTGAATTGACATTGATTTAATTTTGCTGAGTTCAGACTATTTGTCAGCTGTCCTTTGTTTGGCTGCTCCCTCATGGTTCCAGAATGTTGTTATAGTAAAAAGCCAATGTATATTACACAGCTATCAGGGTACGAGCCAGCCCTCGTGAAGGCAAGCAAACACGCCCGATGCATGACATAGGAACGAGGAGTATATATTGAATCAGCTTGCCTTATATTGTTAACCTTAATGAGCTACTCTGGTTGGCTTGTTGATTGAAGTTGTTTACGAGCTCTCTCATTAGTGATTTATAACATGTTTACATAATAACAAACTTACTAAATACAAGTCGCCTGGAAATAAATATGAAAGTATTATTTAATGGATTAAGCACTAGTTAAGGAGCAAAATATGAAATGTGGTAAAATTCTATCCTATAAAGCAAGCTAAACGAGCTTAATGAGTAGCCCACGAGCTGGCTTATTCGACTAGTTAAGATTTTGAATTTGAGCTGATTCAAGATACGAGTTTATCCGAACCATGAGCTTTTCAGATTTTTTTTCAGCCTTGATTCTAGCATTAGGCACGTTTTTATACACCTGATTTCTGTTCATACTAGAAAGTACCCTTGGCAAAGCAATGCTAGATGGGTCCTCTGCAAACTTCCAGTATTTTGTATCAAATTCTTTCCACTATCGAGTATTTGCTGGGTGTCTAAGCATCCCATCATTTTTGTGCTTTTCATGATGCGAGCACATCAGTTCGGCATCCCTCGGGTTCGAGAACAAATGCTTCAATCGATCTTTAACCGGAAGGTACCACATAACTAGCTATGGAATCTTCTTCTTACTGTCTTTGTATGGAGCAGGCTCTTCTACCTCGTCAACTGCAACATCTTGACCCTCGAACTGGGTACCTATTTTGTATGGACTAGTGTTGCATGTTGGGCATATATTGAAAGTCTCGTACTCTTTACGAAACAAGATACAATGGTTAATACATGCGTGTATCTTTCGCACACCCAATGACAATGGGCAAATAAGCTTCTTCGCTTCATAGGTGTTGGTTGCTTCATAGGTGTTGGTTGGCAGGGAGTTGGGTTTCAGAAACAATTATTTCAACAGAATCAACAAATCGTTGAAACTATTGTCGGGCCAATTGTTTCCGGCCTTCAATTTCATATGAAGCACCGTATGCAACAATGTAAAATCATTGCCACAACCCTTTGTCTCATTGTCAGAAGTTCCTTCATTGCCTTTTGTAATGCATTGAAATTATCCAAACCACGAGTAGAGCCAGCCACAACTTCTGCTTCAGCATGGTGCAACATCTCCTCCAAATCAAAAGCAGTGCCATTATTACCATCGACATCATCTACTGTGACATGACCATCATTAGCATCATCAACTGTGTGATGACCATCATCATCAACCAATTCTTCTACTACCACGAAATTCACGTCGCTGAACACTTCAACCTGTATCTCTTTGTTGGGAACTCAACAGCTTGTAGGGATTTATCCATAATATCACCAATTTGTCTAGCCATAAACAAATCCACGCATCACCAAGTGTGTCTCAATTATAGATGGATTGTCCTAAATTTTCTGATATTTACAGTGCATGCATGGACATCTAATTTTCCTCGTCTTCTTAGCTACAACATTCATCTTCGCAACTTTCATAAATCTATACGATATCTGTCTCTATACATCCGTGCTCTGTCTGCCATCTATGCATTGTGAAAAAATAACTAACTTAGTTTAAATATTTTCAATAATGTCACATTAAAATTATGCTAATATGTACCGAAAACAATACCAAACTGTTATGTCAAAATTAGTAAAATTTGTATAAACAAGGTAATTAAAGCTAGTCAAAATTATATTACGATTTCATTTTTCTAAAAAAACCTTCCCACTACATAAAACTATACAAAATTATCAAACTACCCTCTTTCTCTTAATTCTGTCCACTTAACTAGATATAGATCTAAGTTCATAAAAACAATGATAGCATATAGATCTTCTACAATAAACCTATCAAAACATTGTGAAATCTATGGTACATTGATCATGTACAATATTTCATAAAAAGTTTTACCGTTTTGAGCTCTACATAACAAATAAAACAAACATGCCATGGTACATATGCCTTGTTAAATTCTCAACATTGAACATATAAAAATGAAAAAAAAAACTTGAGAAATAGAGTAGTACAAAGTATAACTAACCTTTGGTGCAATAGATCTATCGAACCATTTGGGTTCAAAACCTTCTCCCATATGTTTGTGTCCATAAAAGAGAGAAAATCGTGCTCAAATCGCAAGACAGCTTGGGCTCAGCCTTATATAGGAGAAACTGTTTTCGTTCGCGGACTACTTAAGCCACTGCCAAAAAAAAATAGGAGTGGCAGTGGCTTAAGTGGGCTGCTAGCGAAAATAACTTCATCATCGCTGGCGGCCCACGTCACCAGTCCGCCAGCGAAGATTTTCCATCTTCACTAGCAGTCACTTAGGTGCGCTGCCAGTGAAAACCTATCCATATTCGCTGGCCACCCCTCCTTAAGTTGTTCCTGGCTGTTTTCGTGTATGGCCGCTAGTGAAAAGTTTAGTGTGACGTCATGAAATATTGTTTTTCTAGTATTGTGTGTGGACTGTGGACATTGATTCTCTGCAACACCCATGTTTGTTGCGACATGTACAGAACAAGACAGATATGCTGTGTCCTACCTATCCCTATTTTCTCAAAACACTCTTTTGAGGACACTATCTAATTTCCATCACAGCTAAGTCTGAAGAGATGACACTCTCTGAAGGACACTTGGAGTGAAGACAGGTCAGTGACCTATATGGTGCAATTCTCCTTATAGTGTCATCCCAAGAGATGAAACTTAGTTTCTACATCTATTCATAGAAACTTAGATAAGGAGATGTTTCGACATAATATAATATTTTTTACTAAGTAAGTTTGCAGCAATAGAAATATTATTAGTATTAATCAAACAATACAATAGTTTAAGGTAAAAGTATCAAAATAGGAAGTACACCGTGTGCTATACCATATATTCATTACTGTCCAAAAGCAAATAACCATTAAATTTCTGAATTAGTACTTCTCTTTTATGGTATAATGTACCATATGCAAATTTAGGTTTTAAGAGGTAATATTTACTTTTGAAGAAAATGACAGTGCTACGTGCCACACTGCACACAGACTGGTGAAGAACTAGTTGAAATGAAAATTTAAAGAAACTGTATTGAAACTTTATTCTTTGGTGAAGCACATAGGAGAAGATTGTTTTATGTCAAACTACATAATGCATTCCTAGGCATAGTATATCATCGAAAACAATTGAATTGCTAGCACTTAATTTCCCAGGCATAGTGTACTAGTGTACAATAGTCAATGCTATCTTTCTAGAGGTAATTAATTTTTGATATCCTAACCCAAGAAAAAGTTTAGAAGCATCCACATGTTGAAGATATGTCCATTAAAGAACAATAAATATATACTCATTTGGGATGGGCCACAGCAAGGTTAATTTCTAAATAGGAAAAGGTTTTACTCATATTAAAAAGCTTCCAAATGTTTAGGATATGATATGGAAATTCATGAATACTTGCCAGATATCGGCATTCATGTTAAAATGCTAGCATCTTCCACCTCTATACCAAATTTCCTCTCTTTATTTTCTTGGCTTTCTACAGTATCTCCATCACTTGTCATCTCAATCACAGATCCCTCATGCATTTCTACGGAAGTTTTTCCTTGACAAGTAAGGTAACACGAATACAATATTTGCTCTCTGTTGTTTTGTCCATAATATTTTTATGGATTTGTTATGTCCCATCGAATCCCGGTTTGTGGTGTTATAGCAAAGCAGATCTTAATGGAGCAGGACCAAACACCATCAGGGGTTCAGCTTGACAACTCTAGGAAGCATGAAAGGTCGACGAGAAGTTCCACAGCTACACGCAACACTAAGGAAAGTTGTAGATCTGGGCCGGATGTCCAGCTCTATACACCTTTGAGTCCCACGTGCTCATCAGGTGCAGTCACAAAATTGCTTCTCTATTTCGAGTATTTACTAAACCTATAGAATTTATTCGATATTTGTGAAGTCTGCTGTCTGTCTACTCCTTGGAATTTTTAGGATTGATTTCGTTATTCTGTTTTTGTTAATTCTCATTCACAGATCTGAAACTTTATGGCATATTATTTATGAAATGATATTTTACTGAGCTAGGAAATTGCAACCTGGCTAGAGGATTGTTTTAATTCCTCAATTTTAGATTGCATCACTTTGCCTAGCATTTAGTAATCCAAAAAAACTCTCTGTAGGTCTGCTAATTTCTGACAAGTCCCCAAAAGGGTGTAATTTGTTAGGGGGGCAGGGCACATTTGGTATTTCTGGTGCTGGTGACACAGGCAAGGGGTTGCCAGGACCTGCACCCTATTGGAGTGTTAACTCTTCATATGAGTCTATCCCAATCTCAGCCCTGCCTCCAAAGAAAAGGTATTTGCGACAACTACAGTTAGCTCAACAACTAGAGGTCAGCCCCCCTGCTGTGCCAGTTGCAGTTCCAGCTCAGATCCCCTTGGCAGGGTCTAACAGTGGTGTAAGCTTTGGGCAGAAGAGTAAGCAGGACAACTCACTAGGCCCAATAAATTGGAGATCAACAAGATGGTGGAATTATCGCAAGAGATCATCAGATGATGCTGATAATGCAGAGAAAAAGGATGCAGCAAATTACCAGGAAGCAGGCAATTCCATTGCTGGGAAAAGGAATCGAGTGGAATGGGGCTATGGACTAGCAAAGTATGAGAAAGAGAAGAAGCAGATGTCCAACAGCTTACCTTCAGATGGGGACAATACCAACCTTGGCGCTAGCAGCGAGAGCATGACTGCAACTGTGGATTGCCCAGCCGCCCTGCCTGCATCTTCATTGGGAAGTAATGTGCAACCAGGTGATGCATTAAATTGACAAATATAGCGCTGCTGCGGATAGATATGCTTGTGTGATATAAATATGTTAGTTCTATATGCATATCTAGCAAA